CCGACTAATGGTGTTTTTTTTAAGTGGATTATAATGGTTACGGACAGTGTGGCCGGCTGATTTAATATAAGGGGTAAAATTCATAGTGATTGTGCTTCTGGAAGATCCCTCATTTTCTTATGCAAGTTATAGGAGATCCTGATCTCCATACTGAGTATCCCTACATTGGTCCTGGGCCAAGAGAAGAGACAGGTTTTTTGAACTACAGGGAGATATTTGGGGCAGTGCTATGTAATAGTGATCTGGGGGCTTTACAGTCACCCAAATCACTTCTATCATAGACAGACTCCCTCCCCTGTGATCATACTGCAACATTGGAATTGTTCCACACCGCATCATGGAAAGAAATGGGAATCTGCTGACCTTTATATGATGCGCACTTCAAACACACATCAAGTGTAGGAAAACAAAGGCTGTCTACACTGGCCCATATGTGTGGTCAATGTCTTGTGATCTAACTGACCCTTCCCTTTCTCTTCTCAATCCTGGGACCTGCAGTAAGGAATAATCTATTAAAATACAGCAGTCTGATAGGTCACCTTTACATTTCTAGCTTACAAAAAAACTGGCAGAGGGAAATAATTACACAATAAATTAGTTAAATAAATGGTCAATTAATACAAAAAATTATGCATTCCTAGACAATATGGTATTTGTATTTATTACTCTGCATATATGGTAACAGTGCCTATAAGAGGCCTATTAAAGGAGAACTATGAGGTGAGTGCTTTTCACTCACCTCATAGTTCTAGCCGACCTGTGACAATGAGACTGTCACAGGTCGGCTCAGTAGATCGGGAGGTGAGCGAACACATACCGGCGTTCACTCGCCTCTCGATCCTGACACGGCTCTCTGTCGTGACAGGGGAGGGGCTGGATTCCATCCTCCCTGCTCCGATCCGCCAGCGCTGACTGGCGGAACGGACGGGGGAGGGGGCGGGTACAGTTGGCTCTGCCTCTAGATACTTTAAAGCAGTTATTTCTTTCTTAAAATATAATTAAATGCAAAAGTTCAAAGTGCACTAATGTAACCACAACCCACACCCACTTTTAATAGGCCACACCCACTTCTGAACCTGCATGCATTATCTCCTCTCCTGTAGTTTTTCTAGAAACCAAAAGGTGGCAACCCTATTCATGAATGCTATTATAACAGTGAATGTGTTTACAGTCTCTTACCACCATCCCCATAATAGTAAAGCTGCATTAGTAAAAGCATGAAATAAAAGGTATCCAGAATGACAATTACATATATAACAAGGGTTGCAAGGATGATCCTAACAGTAAACCAAAATAAACAACTCGGGCCCCTCAGATATGCAGTCCCTCTGTTATGGGGCCTTGACAGATGTGCAAAGTTCCTTTGTTATGGGGCAAGGTTAGATGTGCTTCGAGTCCCTCTTCTATGGTGCTTCATCCGAAATGTGGAATCCCTCTGTCACAGTAATGCAGTGCCTCTGTGTTATAGGGTGTCTTGCAGAAATCAAGTGTTCCCCTGTTATTGGGGTCTATCAGATGTGTAAAGTCCCTCTGTTATTTGGGTCTGTCAGATGTGTAGAGTCCCTCCGTTATGGGGGTCTGTCAGATGTGTTGAGTCCCTCTGTTATTTAGGGTCTGTCAAATGTGTAGAGTCCCTCTGTTATGGGGGTCTGTCAGATGTGTAGAGTCTCTCTGTTATAGGGGTCTGTCAGATGTGTAAAGTCCCTCTGTTATGGGGGGTCTGTCAGATGTGTAGAGTCCCTCTGTTATTGGGGCCCGTCAGTTGTGTAGAGTCCCTCTGTTATTTGGGTCTGTCAGATGTGTAGAGTCCCTCAGTTATGGGGGTCTGCCTGATGTGTAGAGTCCCTCTGTTATGGGGGTCTGTCAGATATGTAGAGTCCCTCTGTTATAGGGGTCTGTCAGATTTGTAGAGTCCCTCTGTTATTAGGGTCTGTCAGATTTTCAGAGTCCCCCTGTTATAGGGGTCTGTCAGATTTGCAGAGTCCCTCTGTTATGGGGCCATGTCAGTAATGCTGTGTCTCTGTGTTATATGGGGCCTCTTAGAGGTTAGATGTCCCTCTGTTGTGGATGTCTTACAGAAATCAAGTGTCCCTCTGTTATGATAGGAAGGGGGGGGGGGTCTGTTAGATGTGCAGAGTCCCTCTGTTATGGAGGTCTATCAAATGTGCAGAATCCCTCTACTGTGGGGACCTGTCAGATGTGCACAGTCCTTCTGTTATGGGGCTCTGTTGAGAGTGGTGTGGCCCTCTGTTATGGGGTTCTGTTAGTTGTGCAGAGTCCCTCTGTGATAGGTCTCTATTAGATGTGCTAATTCCCTTAGGTTATGGGGCTGTCAGATGTGCTGGTCCCTCTGTTATGGGGTCTGTAAAATGTGCGGCACCCATCTCTTATGGGGGTCTGTATGTTATTAGCGAGTCTATCAGCAGCCACACATGCATCCCTGAGACCTACCTCTTGCCTCTGGCATCTTGCCCCAGTACCGGCTTTCAGTGACTGAGGGATGGAGTCTGCAGGTAATCAGTCATCAGCAGGCACCACCTACATTTAATGCCCCTCCCTGATAGCTCCCCCTCCCCAGTACACGAGAGAAGGGGCAGATTCCAGAAATGTACAGAGAATGTGCACAATCAGGGTCAGAATTGCTGATCTAGCCATAGAGAGCATGTTGCCGACCCCTGACCCAAACGCTGACCCTCCAGCCTGTCAGAATTAACTCTTTCATCACCAGCTGACTTTGCTGTCACATGCAATGATATGTTATGTCACCTCTTACATTGTCACTTGTTTTTAAATGGCTGATGTTAATGAGACCAGCAGCTCAGCAATCACCGCTGTAAACTGGCACACTGACCACAAAACATTTGCTAAACAACTGCAATACTGACAAATGTAACACATGGAGACCCTTTAGAACATTTCCCTTCACATTGTACTCTTATTGTTGATTTGTACAGTGACAACATCTTCTGCAACACTGAACACTGACGTTTGGACACGCAGGGCTCTGAACAATAACAGGAAATGTACACACATACATTAGAGAAGCCGGCTCAAAACAGCTCAATATCTAAAAACTAAATATACAAATGATCTGGAAGCGGTTTTTATGTTATCAATTAAAGTTTTATGTTGACAATATCACTCAATGGGAAGGAAGTGATAAGCTTATAATGGAAGACCAGTTCTGAGAGTGTCTTTAAGCAGTAGTGGTAAGGTTATTTGGTGGTATGGTGTGCCTCACATCATCAAAGGGCCACACAAAACGTACCAATGTAATGATACAGAAAATAGCCAGTGACTGGAAATGTTACAGTAGATGGTTCAAGACTGTGGGAATGCTACAGGAGATTGTCAAACCCTGCAGACATGATACAGGGGCGGTTGGAATCTAAGGACAGACTGTACGGGACTGTTAGAGAACGAGGACATGTTTTTTAGAGATCACTGGCAATATAGTTTCTTTACAAGTCATTGCTCCCTACAGGCCTCCTTACAAATTTACTGGCACCTTATTTGATATTCCTCTTAACAAAGTCCATTAAAGGATGTTAGAGGAAATAAAGTACACTAAAACAGAAAACATTATGGACAACACATCCCCAAGTAAGCAACAAAGCAAGGAAAACACTGACTGCCAGTGGTAGGGCCCGAGGGCCGCATAGTAGGTACCAAAGGGCAGCAGGTTGGGCACCAGTAATTTAAAGACTTGGAGGGTAAACCCTGGTGGCATAAGGAAAAGAGTTCCAGGGAAGGAGAGTAGCACAAGAGAAGTCCTGGAGGAGAAAGTGAGATGTGACCATAGAAAAAGGGAAATTGTCAGAATCAGAATATGGCAGCTGCTACTATCAACTTGTTTTTGGAAGTGCCAGTAATGCTATTTACACATACTTAAAGCCATTTTCTATTATTTTATGCTCTGTGTAAGTTCACTACGTTTGCTGCTGATTTTATTGCAGTAAGGTTATTTCTAGCTGTGTACAGTAGGGCGTGTGTTATTTTTATAGGTGTCTGGAATTCTGCCACTGCCTACGCCTCCATATATTAAGTTGCAATGTACTATAATGATCCCATTCTAAGGCTGCACATAGAGAGCTGTAGTTTCATTTAAATCATCACATGGTTGTGTTATATGGTCATTTTACACAAAAAGAGTGTTTATTGGAGCTTTATGTAAGCTTTGTTCTCTTACCTGCTTACTTAAGTCATCTAATAATTTATCAGCTCAGCCAATATACCTAATTCTGCTAGAAACATCAGCTGAATGCTGCAATCAGACTTGCAGTGGGATTTCCTGCTATGTAATCTGATGGGTGGGAGGGACAGGAATGTCATTTAGCTTACAGGAGAGAGCTCAGGCCAGGTCCCCCCAGTGTGGAGATATCCATCGATCCGACGTGCGGGCAGAAGCTGGGTCAGTACCCTGTAACATACAGAACTTTCACTTTCCATAGGCTCTGAACAGGGTGGGTGGGAAATTTCATCTTTAGGGACCAGAGGCACACATCCTTTGGTGCCTGAAGCAACACCCCTCTGTTAGGATCACCTCCTCTTCACAGAACATTTTCTTGTTTCACGAGTCACTGCACAAATTATATAATTGTGAATAAACTTCTATAATGTGACTTTGGCCAACTTCACCTTTAGGTACAGGCCTGCTATGCCTAATGGCAATGCCCTATATTTAACTTTTTTGCTGGAATTGTGCTTTAATCTCTCCCATTCACAAACCAAAATGATAGCATCTACAATGCAGTGATATGATGATGATTGGATGGTAGGGGGTGTGTGCTTCCTCTTTCCAGGTAGATGTTACCTGTGGACTTCAGTCAGTTACCTGGACGCCTGTACCTGGCTCTATTAATGATTAATACTCACAAGTTGGGAGCATCCTCTTCAGGAGCGCAGGAATAAGGTGGATGTCTCGGAAGCCAGGGAGAGACGGCCCGGGGAAGATGGAAGACAGAGGACCTTAAAGTAGGAAAACAGGCGCAAAAGCAGCCATGGTGAAGCCATCTAACTGCTCCCTGGAGGGAGGAAGTTTCCCCCTTTCATCAGAATTTCTTCAAGGTAATGTGATTAGAGATATATTAAGATATATATGTGTGTATGTATCAGCGTCTGCTACATAGAGAGGCCTACAGATGTTGTAGGTAGCAGCCATGATTCTTCATTAGGTTTATCTATCTGCAGGATAGTCAATTATCTATGTAACACTAAATCCATATTTCCACTGACATGGGATTATAGGGAAAACACAAAGGTAATAGCCATAAAGGTTCAGCAGCCTTCTCCTCTTTTTATGAATATTACAGTCCTGTTTGTTTTCCCTACTCTAGTAAATACTACAAACAGTATCAGTTCTTTAGTTTTTGATGTTCCCACCTACCCACTCACTTTTGTCAGTCTAGTGTTTTGGGAATCCCAACTTGTGAAGCCAGGGAGGAGTTCCCAAACACACCCAATGCTGGAGTCCTGCCGTCTCTCACATAAATAAATCTAAATGCATGTGCTAAAAAAATTCTCACTGCCATCAATCAGAGCTTGCCTTACCTGTTACCTGTCTTAGATCTCTTAGTGTGATTGTGAATACAGGAAGAGATGAAGTTTCAAAACAGACAGAATACATAGTCCCAGTGAGCCTCTGTTACAACTCTAACATATTCCAAGGCCTTTCCACAAATGAAGGCCTGGTGGCTACACAATACAGGCAGTCCCCGGGTTACAGACAAGATAGGGACTGTAGGTTTGTTCTTAAGTTGAATTTGTATGTAAGTTGGAACAGGTAAATTTTTTAAGTGCAACTCCAGCTCAAATTTTGTTGTTGTTGTTTTGGATAGCATAGAGAAGGGTTTACCCTCTGTAAAGTTTGTTCTGCTGTGTGTTCCCCTGTTCAGAAGATTTCACCTCACTTTCTGTCCCTGTGACAATTGGATTTGAAAAATGTTGGGTTGTTGTGGAAACAAGGATTTGTGATAAAACTTCAGTGGAGACACCTTTTTCCCATGATCACTCTTACAAGAGTGAATTTCCCTTCCTAGGGGTAGATTTACTTTCACTTTCTGTTGTCTCAAGGACAGGAAGTGAGATTGGTGATAAAGCTTCAGTGGAGACACCTTTTTCCCATGATCACTCTTACAGGAGTGAATTTCCCTTTCTAGGTGTAGATTTTCTTTCACTTCCTATTGTCTCAAGGACAGGAAGTGAGATTAAATCTTTCTAATAAAGATACAGACCGCAGTAAAAACCTTACAGTGACCCGGAAGAATAGGTGGGCACCCCTCGTCTGTACGTCTAACAAGAGCCAACTTCCTGTAACTTCCTTAAGAAGAGGTTGGCACCCCTCGTCTGTACGTCTAACAAGAGCCACCTTCCTGTAATGTACATACAGTACTACGAACCAGACCCAAAAAGGTAGGCACTCCTTGTCGCCACGAGTGCGGTAGCATTATAACTACCCCTGACGTACAGTTATAGCCTACGTTTGTAAGTAGGAGTCGTTTGTAAGTCGGATGTATGTAACTCGGGGACTGCCTGTACTATACAGAGCAGCCATGATGAACAAGTAGTTTGCCTTTCTGCACAGAGGCCATGTAGCTTTTTTTTTTGTTCTGTAGTGAATTCTGTGAAGTGATGGTGCATATGGATTACCGAAGTCAATATAACTAATACAGCCAATTCAATCTTCTGGTGTGTTGGAGCTTAGTGCCTCGAGGGTACCCAGTGGTGTAATGTTGAGTGTTCTTGGCAATACAATTTGTTCATCTTTCTCCAGTGATAAAGAAGGATCTCTGGATATTTCTTGTGCCTGTGGTGGTTGGACTGGTCCAGTTGGCCTTATTCCTAGAGGAGATGGGATTCTTCCTGAGGAACATCAAAAGCTCACGTAGGACCTGCCTCTACCTCTGGATCCTGGGAGTATACCCGGTAAGAATAAGATCAGCTATGAATCTTATTTTCGGGGGATGTCTTACTTTCGGGGAAACACGGTAGGCATTTATTTGGTCTAAATTGACCACACATCATAGCCCCATTTAGATTTTTAGAAAACAACTCTTTCTGTGCCAAAAAAAACTTACTGGGCTTTCCATGGCTTTAACATTCAGGATTGTATTTACCATAGTGGCAGTCAATGGCCAGTGCCCAGGGTGGCAAAGTATGGGAGCCCCCTTTGGACATTTGTGAATTAATCCAGAAATTAAAGGACAGGTAACGTCTAAATATAACCCTGCTAACAGTGACATGCATGTTAGGAATTCCAGAATGTACGCATTTTAATAAATTCCAAAATGTGGGACCTGCTTGTGTAGTCACTACCTCTTGGCATATCATAACTGTAAGTGGTGTCGGTGGCACAGATGCAGTAGGCCTCCCACTGACTCCCAGTGATCTTAAGAAAATGGAAAGTGCCTAAAGATACAATGTAAGCCAATCATTTTAGTGGTATGCTGTTATTTATGGTGTTTTCCATATTTAATGTCCACCATGTTTTATGTCCTGCCAAAATTACCCTAGCGCAAATTTATATAGAAGATATATATCAGTGGGTAAAACCTGGATTTACTTTTCTCACACAGTACAGCGTGTGTAACTTAACATCCCCGGCAACTCTTCAGATATTGCTGTAAGACAGGCTGTTAGTAGTTATTGTGGTAGTAAGCAAAAGAGGTATCTGTTAAGTCTTAAACTTTGCAGCTTGGTGTAATAATGTCAGGTACAGGGGGAGTTGGGTATGCTTATCTTTTAAACTAAGATCAGCAGTTACAATTCCCAAAATCTAACTAGCAAAGCAGCATAAAGCCTTATGTACCCTTATGTACCCTTAAAAAGCAATGTCAAACAATTTAAGTAGGCAAATTAGAGTTAGAGCTGAACTCCAGGATAAGCAAATATTGTCCAAATACAAGAGGTATGTGTATTCTTACTCATATTTTGTTGTGTTTTGTCTATTTCTTTCAGATGGGTGCAGTAATCCAGTGTAAAACTTTGTCTCTGTGCAGGAGCTTCCTGTAAAAAGACCAGTTACTGTTGCTCTCTCTCCTTGCGCAGGGTGACTGCCCCTTCCTGTAGTTTTCTGCAAACAGCCTGTAATGGGCGGGGCCCGCTGAGCCCCTCCCACAGCTGTGCTATCTGCATAGGCTATGTACAGCATAGAATTTGGTGCACACAAAGTGGATTTATATGCTTTGTGGCTATAGAGGAATATAAAAATGTGTGTGCCCGGAGTTCAGCTTTACAAGTTAACTGACACATACTGACGGTGCTAAATTTGGTCTGGGTATTCAGATTTTAATGCCATGATTTTTGAAGGGAGTACAAGATACCTTGCTTGAGAGAAACATTGAGGCTATCTTGTGCTGACCTGAATATGCTAGCTACTTGGCTGTCATGTGAACCCTCTGGATTTAATACTTTGATTTACTAACCCAGAGCAATCATGCATATAATATTTCCCCTGACTGGTCTGCATTCTTGTTTTGGGTCAGTGACTTAAAGTGTTGAATCCAGCCTGTCAGAAGAACAGCTAAATAATCAGCATTTCCAGAATGAGGTCAGCAATGGCCCCATATTTCTTTTATGTTTGATAATGTTTGACCTTGCAGTGGCACAAGTCTCTGCAAGGTCAAACATTATCAAGGTTATTCACAAAAGGGTGAAGAGTTTGGAGAAGGCAGGAGAAGTGAACAATCAAGGCCAAAATAGCTGATTTGTAAAAATTCTCCAATTCAGCTATGTTGTCCTAGCTTGTTCACGTCTCCTGCCTTCTCCAAACTCTTCACCCATTGTGAATAACACTGTATATAATGGTGGTCTCCTACATACCGTGTTAAATTATATTTCTTGCTGTCCCCCTGCCAGATATTCTGCATCGCCTCCATCATCGGAATGTTCATCCCTCGCTCCTCCGGCATCTGCAACTTTGTGGCGTCCATGTAAGTCTGATCTGTAATGCAATGAATAGGATATTAACTAATAGGTGCCAACACAAATGTGCATCAGAGCACCCAGGCATCAGCACTAAAGATTTCCTGCCAGCCACTTGTAATTCAACTTCTGATAATAGTAAGAATCTCTACAGCACCTATGGTTGCTGTATGGAAAATGGCGGACAGGAAGGTGTTTATATTCTAGGTAAAATCATATTTTTAGCTCCGGTAAGGACCTGAGAGCTCCAATTGGAATGAAATTTATAAAAAAAATCTATCTTTAGTACTGGCCTATAACAGCACAACAAATGCTTACTTTACTTTGCTTACTTGCACAAGATAGAGATGACACTGCCATTTTGTACCTCATAGGTTGTTTTTCAGTAATATCTTCTATTTCATACTCATCCTGTCATTCTGTCCTGTTCATCCTTAGATATCACTCAATAACACTGTGGAAGTTCTTGGAATTGATAACAGATTTTTTTGGCGGAAAAGCCCAGATGCTTGAAGTGCTGGGAGGTCATACAGTGTCGCCCAACCCTCCGCCATGCTGCTGCTGCTGTTGTTTTCCCAACATCCAAGTGAACAGGTGCGCCTCCACATTGTAAACCCCCAACAACACCCCACGGCTTGGATAACAGAGCTTTCTCTAGAGTGAACAAGAAATATTAAACAAGCAATTTGATTGGATGCTGTGCTGTTTAATTTCCGCAAAAATGCAACTAGCATAAGAACCTGAATTTGTCTTGATGTCAACCTCTTGCACAGCAGCACTCAGACTGGGAGTGGCAGCACTAAGCAGCCAATCAAACTCTATAGTGAACATTCTTTATTGTCCAGTAGCAGGCTGGGGGAGTGTTCTGGACCAGACTGTGCTGCTGTTGATGCTGGAAGGTCGAGAACATGTCTATGCTGTCTGGCAAGATTAGTTGCCTAACAAAATCAGATGCACAGACCTACAAATCATATGGCACTTAAGGTGCCCGTACACCTTACAATTATCTGCAGAGTTTCTGTGGTCAGATGGTAAAAGTGCAACAGATTGGCCCAGGTGGAGATTACTCCATCCACACAGTTTAGCATAGATGGAGGAATCTGTTGCACCTTTTCCATCTGACCACAGAAAATCTGCAGATAATTGTAAGGTGTATGGTGGTGGTGGTCTGCTACTGGTCATCAAAGAAAACCCTGGAGTGGCTGCTAGGTAAGTATTAAACAGTTTCCTTGGCAATTCAGGCTACAGGGCAACTTACTTTTTCATGCTCCAGGCCCAATGAATGCGACTCTGCATGTGCTAAGCAGAAAGTTTGCCATCAGTATTACACACTGGCTTTACATTAGCTCTTTGCCTTTCTGTGTCTCAGGAACAATCTGAGGTGGATGAACATTGCCGTTTACCAGCTGTCTGTTGTCCGCACACTTCTGTTCTTTGTGGGCCTCATTTTGTGGACAGACGAAAAGTATGACTATGGAGATGTAAGTACCGGTAGTTCACTGGGAAGACACCTGCCTTATCGCTATAATAAACAGAACCCTCCAGTGTCCACATATAAGACATTTTAAGTGGAATGTCAGCCTATTAGTCAGGGGACATTAAGTAAAATGCTTTATTGTAAATTAAGCAAAATATGGGACAACGACGTAAAAAAAAAAGAAGATACATTTACATCAAAAGTATTTTTATTTTCTAAAGTCATTTATTTGTCTTTTTTTCATCAGCTTGATTACACCAACCCAAACTCCTACATCAACATCATCATTGGCTTGTCCACATTCCTGTCCTTTTATGGCTACCTTCTCTTCTACAAGGCTACCAAGAAGGCCCTGGAAGGCTACAGTCCTCGCTCCAAGTTTATCTGCATCACACTAGTTCTGGTTCTGTGTGGTCTGCAAAATGGCATCCTGGAAACTATGGGTGCCCTGGGGGCCATCCCATGTGTTCCACCCTGGACCGTGGAGACCCGATCACAGAGTGAGTGGGCAAAGGAACATGCCGGGAAGCTGGCCATACACCTTACAATCTTTTCTTGCCAGCCAGTCAGGGATTAGAGGTCAACTTAAATTTGACAGTTGAGGTCTTTTCAGCTACCAGACTTCACATTCTGCCTCCAAGCTCCTGAGATTGCATAACAGTATCAAATAATAGAGCCTCATAATTGTTCACATTCCCTTAGCTACAGTGTACAGGGACAAACAGTGGCCACACCTTCAGACATCAGGTGGCCTTTGATCCAGAATCTTACATTTAGGTTGCAGATATAGACAAGGTAAGCAAAGTCAAATATTGCAGTTATAACCTTTAAAAAAGGTGTCCAGGCTGGTGGTAGAGAGCTGACTAAGCTGGATTGCTTAAAGGAGAACTATGGGATCAGTGTTTTTCCCCATAGTTCTCCTTGGGGTAACGGGAGGACACAAACTAGCGTCCTCACGTTACCCTAACCTCAGTATACCGCGAGCTACTGCTCGCGGTATATTGAGACGCCGCACCTGGAACGGATCCCGACTTAGATGACGGGATCCGCCCAGCTGCGTGAGTGACAGCTGGCTCTGCCTATCTAGAGGCAGAGCCAGCTGTACCCGCCCCCTCCCCGTCCGTTCCGCCAGTCAGCGCTGGCAGATCGGAGTGGGGAGAGGGGAATCCAGCCCCTCCCTCTGTCACGGCAGAGAGCCGTGACAGGATCGAGAGGTGAGGGAACCCGGTATGTGTTCTCTCACCTCCCGATCTACTGAGCCGACCTGTGACAATCTCATTGTCACAGGTCGGCTTAGAACTATGAGGTGAGTGGAAATCACTCATGTCATAGTTCTCCTTTAACTACAAGTCAGAAAAGTCAAGACATCAACCTCACTGTACTCTCTGTGTAAACCTCAGGAATAGATAGACACAATTACAAATCCTTTGGCAGATAACAGTTCCCATATATGTTATTGAGCTCTATATTTAGCAGTTACCCAGGAGTTCAGTCTTAATATGATCTCTGTAGGGATGCACCGATACCAATACCAGGGCATTTTCACGAGTACTCGAGAAAATGCCCCGCTACTAAGAACCGATACAGCCCTTTAAATCTTTCAACTAAAGTGGCTGCCGTAAGGTTCCGTGCTTACTGGGGATCTTGCCGCAGTCTTCTGGGGAACCACAGTGGAGCCTGTTTACAGAACTATCCTGCACATCTTCCCCTCTTGAGACTCTGGCACCCGTTCCTCAGACTCCGGCAACCCTTCCTCAGACTCGCCACCCCTTCCTCAGACTCCGGCACAAAGCACCTGAGACTCCGGCATAAAGCCCCAGGAACTGTCAGGGAAGAAGGAGGGAAGCTGCACCCCGACAGTGGCACCATGCAGTCCCCTCGAGGAAGGTAAGAAATGGAGAGCCAGGCCGATGTCACTAGATATTTGTCACTTATTGAAGGACACTGCAGGTGTCACAAACTTAAACATGACACAAAAACACTTTGCTAAACAAGACAGACCCTGATATCCACTAGACAGATGCCTTATTGTGTCACCTGCTTGCTAAATCCCCATAAGGGGCTGATTTGTGAATACTGGAAAAAAAATTACTGCGTGATTGTCATTTATTGAAGGACACTGCAGCAATCACTGCCACTTATAGGCTTGGCAAGGAGAGCTGCAGTCTGCGCTTTATTGTGCTGTGACAAATGCATGACTAATGACAGACTAGCTATAATAGACAGTAGCAATATACTGTGTACAGTATGTTATTATCAGTTGGTTTTCTGTTCCTACAGAACAATGGCTGCATTATATTCCACATTGCTGTATAAAGTATTGTTGGGATTTGTAGTCCTCTATAGCCAGTGCCATTCTGCATTGCTGTATAAAATAATGCTGGGATTTGTAGCCCTCTATAGCCAGTGGTATTCTTAATTGCTGTATAAAGTATTGCTGGAATTTTTAGTCCTCTATAGCTGGTGGTATTCTGCATTGCTGTATAATATATTGCTGGATATGTAGTCTGCATTGCTGTATAATGTATTGCTGGATTTGTAGTCCCTCTACAGCCTGAAGTCAGTGGCAGAGCTACCAGGGTAACAGCAGTTGGGACTTGGCCCCAGGTGCTCCACCACTGTCCCAAAATCATTAGTACGTATTGTTTCAGAAAAGCTGTCACATGACACTAAAAAAAGGTATTGGTACCGGTGAGAACTTGAGGAAAAGTATTGGTACTTGTACTAGGTCTGGAAAAAATGATATCAGTGCATCCCTAATTACTAGTTATGAACTCTGCATTTGTGCTATCTCCACAGCCATCTACAATTACTCCATCACGCTAGAGATGTTTTTCATCAGCCTTTTCGCCCGTTATTGTTTCTGCCGAGTCGAGCCAAGTCATGAAGCTGAATCACTGATCCCAGAAGTGGTGAAAAACAAATCTTCCCAGACCACCTTGGCAGATATGTACAGCCTGTCTGAAGACGAAGGTGTTGCCATCAACTCTGCTTACATAAGTGAGGGAGATGAGACTTTATGCCACATCGAACATGCTCCACTAGACAAGTACGACTTCCTCCAGGAGAATAGGACCGTTCCTATGCAGAACTACACAGTCAGGTCACCGACACAGAGCAGTGGAATGGAGCTGGGAAACATGAACATGCCACAGGCAGGTGACGTGTCTGATGGAGCAAAGGCACCCGTGTCTGGCAAAAATCGTCTTCAAGTACAGGCGCAGATTAATTACATTGATGATGCCACAGTGGTGTAAGAGCTCAAGATTTTCCAGATTTATAATACATTCAGAATAAGCATGTGATAAAAAATATATAAACAGAAGTTACCTTCAATTTTTCATTGAAGGTAACTTCTCCTTATATATTTTTATTACATGCATTTTTTTTACCACGTCACAACAATCAGTAGATCTATGTATGTAAATCTTGAATTTTCCAGAAAAATTTAAGCTTGCCTCACCCCTTACACATTCCAAGCCTGCCTATTGGTAATTCAATATGACTGACTCAGTGACCTAAAGGGAGGATTTGTAGGGTGAACAATGTTACTGCTCCAAGGCAGCAGTAGTCCTTGAGTGCATGTCTAGCTAGTCACTGAAACATGTATAAATAGTAAACATTAGATTGATGGTCTAAAATAATGAAAACTAATTTATTTTAAAAAAACAGGGTAGAGCCAGTGGGTAGTTTCACACATAAGGGCACCTAATAATTAAGTCTACCTACTTACTGTTCCCTCTTTTTATAAATTTAAGGAGTTTGCATTTATTTTTGGAGTGCTGTTAGCCCGGTGTTTGCTGTTTATAGAGAATCTGTAGGGTGTTGAGGTTAGGCTCAACATTTACAGGGAAATTAGAGATTTACATATAGAGTATCTTCAGCTACCCATATGTCTGGTTCTACTGATCATGCTGACATGTGATTTGTAGGGAAGGTGTTTTCACCATATGCTCAGTTTGAATTGTTCGGGCTCGTGACAGATTTGCTGTAATAGTACAATGTGTAATGTGCAAAGTGCAGTAACCCCGAGAGATTCTGCATCAATTGGTTCACTAATGCACCACCTATGTCAGAGATGTGACATATTTTTCAATGAGCAGAATATCAAGCAGTGCATGAGTTAGGCCCCGTTCACATGAGGACTTATGCTACATTCTGGATTTCCCGAGGCAAGAACCTACGAGTTCTTGTGGTAGTAATCCCAGGTGTCCCTGTTCAGATGCAGCCGCTGTGCCCATTCAAGTTAATGACAGTGTGATAGCAGCTGCATCTGTCAGTGGCTGTGTGTAATTGTACATCCAGGGACAATCATCTATGCCAAACCGCATGTCATTGTACCATGTACAATTACATGTGGACTGCCGCTAGCAGATGTGGCCGCTTTATAATTCTTATATCTGTCAGGGACTACAGTTGTGAGATCAGTATACTGAGGTCTGCACACCTGCTGTTCTTTATTTTAAACACTAAAGGACACATCAGGAGGAGGGGGAACACTCAGAGGTTGGCAGAAATACTCAGGAATTATGGCAAGGAGATCTCACTGCTGAAGGACCCCAGAACATACAAGAAGCCATTCGGCGATTCTGCTCTTCAGACACATATAATTGAAATATCACTAGTTCCTCACCCCAATGTAATTGAGATGAAGAGGTAGGCATGTTTGTAGTCCCATCCTGGGGTGACTAAAATGGCTGTCTCTATAGATGCAGTGGAGTAAGTGAGCGAACCAACCCTAGGACAGGAAGTGTGTTGTTTACAGGATCGCCAGGTAAAAATAAAAGTCAGAAAAAAGGAAACTAATGCAGTCATCAAATTTAAAGACTAGTAAGCTGCAATATATAAAATGTTTGTATTTGCGTTTAAATATGCTTTAAAGAAGAACTCCGGAAAAATAAAACTTACCCTTGCAGTGGGCCTACCCCACTGGGAGCTCATTTTGTCTAGGGGCCCTCAAATAAAGCAATTTTACCTGATCCTCCAGCCTGCGGCAGTCAGCGCTCACCTCTTTTCCCCTCCACTCTGGCTATTGGACGTCTCTTGGTGTCCTCACCTCTAAAGCAGGTCAAGAGACCTGCATAAAACGTGATGATGTCAGCGGTCCTTAGGCCGCTGGAGTCCAGGGAAGAGAAGACCAGTCTAGCAGCTTGGAGAGAGGATCAGGCGAGTAAAAACAGCTTTATTTGAACCCTGTAGACAAAACGAGCACTTAACCCTTGCAGTGCAGGAGTAGCCGCAATCCAAGGGTAAGTTTCTGATTTTCCCAGAGATCTTCTTAACTCACCAGCAACTAGCAAACACTGTGTGGACTGCTCCTTTAAGAAAATCCAAGGACATGATGTGACTCTAGACTCAAAATTCTTTACAATGAGAACCAGATTGGTTTGGATGTCCATAGATTTGATCTGAAAATTTTATCGTATATGGAAATAATATCTTTTGAGTCATGCCACATCCATTATTTTTGTTCATTAACCAGCAGAACATCAATATAGATTTTGGTCTATAAACAATCAGATAGTTTCCTTTTGAATTCGCTGAAAAAAACCGCCCACCCACACTATGATCTTTCTTCAATTCCAGTGAAATACATTTTCTAAAATCGAACCATTGGGACTACAAAAATCCCGGTACCATCACAGGAAAATACTCTTTAAAAACAGTCAGTTTTTCCAAACAAATTTTAAAATAACAAAAAGAAAATTTGGTGCATGTGGCCTGATTTTGTGTTTGCAAAGAAGAGCTCAAATCATAATTAATCTATCATTGATCAAGCTTTTGAAATCTGACGGTATGGTTACTGCACTTTGTACTGGCTTACTGTAGGGGTCATTTTGAATGTAGGTTAACAGAAACTCCAAAGCAGACAAATGTGACACTCCAAAACATGACAGATACAGAAGAGCCTGTATGATAATAATGATTTCACTTGCTAGTAACCAGGCAAGATGGAAACGTCAGATTGGCATGGAGCTGCATTTTTAAATCCCAGGCACAGATTACAGAATGGAGAGTGTGCTGCAAAACTCTTTTTTACACTCCCGTATATAAGACACTACACCCAACCTGATTGCTATGGATGTCTGTATTTAGATAAAACACAGTTAAAGTTTTATTTTATACATTTAAAATTTGAATAAATAAAAAAAACTGTTTCTTGGTGTAAAAGCTATAACAATAAAACCTAAAATCCAGGACCAACATGACCTCATCAGGAAGAGATGGCGAGTTTCTGGATGGCCCCACCTTGGCAGACAGCGTTCTCTTCTTCCTTTTCAGCAGTTGTCGTGGTGGGCTGATTCAGCTGAGATGGTGGCCGTTCCTTGGCCAGTAGATTGTTCTTCTTTAAGAAGCATGCCTCCTGGTAGGGTGGTTGAATCGGGGGTTGGTTTGGGGGAATGTAGCAGTATTCTTTACCTGTGTCCAACTGACAAAGATGGGATTAGACAAAGTCACGTAAAGAAGTACATAGAGTTAACACCCTATAGTTTTTCACCAAAATAACTTTCCCTTTTTTCCATTTGCTCTCCCATCTCTAATTAATTTTCCAATTTATACCTATAAAAAAAAGTCTTCATTGTCGGTCTATTTTTTTCAGTCTCAAGTTTTCCAGCAAGTTTTTCTGGTGTGCAGTTCTGTGACTGATTTATGGTTATTCCTAAAATATGGCTATTCACCATTATAGGGATATTTTGTTAGCCGGGTATCCTGGTTCTCAAGTTAAGGTGCACCTGTAGTTTGCCCATACTGAATAGGAAATGGGTTCACTTTAATGAATTTAGCATTAGGGATGCACCGATACCACTTTTTTGGGTCTGAGTACGAGTACCGATACTTTTTTTAAGTACTCGCCGGTACCAATTACCGATACGTCTTGTTTTAGACATCCGAGCATTTGCACGAGTACGAGTACCCATGCAAATACTCGGTATCGCGGCCGATACCGATGCTTGTATCGGTGCATCCCTATTTAGCATAAACAGCAGATATTTGCCTTTCCAATCCAATACTGCCCTGCCAGAGAGATAACGAGTACTTCTGGGTATGGGGGAACACTTGACAATCCTACCCCCAGTGTTCCAAAATGCAGTCACTGGTGTCTGGGTAGGCAAATTAGAGTCCTAAAGTTCTGGCAGGAGGGAAATTGTGCGCAGTTGCAGGCAGACTGGTAGTGAATCAAAGAAGCCTAGAAGTGCATGGAAGGTAAGTACCTGTTGCTTACAATTCATAGAGTAAAGGAACCTGATGCTTTGCCCAGTATGGCAATTTACAGCAGCCATTTACCTGGAGAGGGTAAGTCCTGTCAGAGTCATAGGCGCTCAGGTCTCCGCATGCCAGGAAAGGCACAATCACACGGTTGGGTCCTTCTAGCTGGTTAAAATCGACATCTAATAAAAAATAAGACCAGAAATTTAAGCACAGCTTAGGGGAAAATGGGCACCTTTGTTAAATCTATATTCTATTCTATTATGGGAATAAATACTCAATTTTGTCTCTGGCAGCCATACTGCCTCAACATCCAGACCTGTATAAGCTGCCCTCACCATAGCAGTGGTCCAGAAGGGGATTGGACATGTTGGGTATGTAGCCATCTGGCGGGCTGTAACCTTGGCACACTACAAATGCTTCTGTAGAAAGAAAAACAAAATGTCAACAAAGTAAAAGTTATACAGATAAAAAGTTTTAGTCCACTCAAAAGTTGTATTTTAGTTGCAGGTGGAGCCTGGTGGGTTGAATTAACACCTGGCTTCCTATACATCTTGGCTTTTCTAACAGCAGGCTCTCTATGCTATAATTTCTAACTGTTTGTGTCCACCTGGGAGTTCTGGGTGTTCCACCCTACATTTGAGTGTTCAATATCTTCCTATTATATTCTCCATAAGTCAAACATCTACCAGGAAAGGTTGGAACCCCTAATAATGAATATAGTAATTGTACACAGCTGGGAACAGAGATCTCCCCAACAGAGTTCCCGAGTTCCAGATGTAGGAACGATCAGGTGGTATAACTCTACGACCTTTGTCTAAAATGGCAACATTTTAAGTAGATGTAAACACTAAATAAATGACAATGTTTAAAAAAAAAAAATACTTTATATCCTTTGTTGCATTTTAGTGCAGCAGATTTTCAGCCTCTTCCGGTCTACATGCTTTCCAACAATGGCTGCTTAGCATTTCTCAGGGTGGGTTTTCCGGCAGTGGACCATGCCTGTGTTATGCGTGTTGAAACAGCCACTTGCAGTCTCCATCAAAAGCCAAGTGCGACAGGTGACAACACAAAAACACAGCTGGGAGACAGGGACAGAGCATTGTCACCCTATTACAGAAAGTTTCGAATTTGCAGGGTCCTCTCCCTGCTAGTGAGAGCCTGCACACCATAATTCATAGCCCGTGTTTTTTCCAGTAACCAATTATCAGTTGTGCGCTTATGGTTTTTCGTTCTATTACAGAAAGTGCCTGAACAAGAACCTGCATTGCAGGACCACAAGGTATTCTTTTCATGATTCAAAATATAAAACAAAACTTTTAACATTTTATTACATTTGTACAGATACATCCACCAGAGTGAGTAAGGGTTAGTTCACACCATATGCAGTGCGTTCCGGTCCGATTCTGGCTGGAGCGCACTGCATTGCGGCCGCCTCACTTTTTTACCGGGCCGGAGAGGGTGTGGCGGGCCATTGAAGTGAATGGCAACGCAATGCGACCGCCCGCATGGGATCGCAAGGCACATTGTGCCTGCAGTGCAGTGCGATCAAAATGGAGCTTGCAGCATTTTGATCACACCGCACCGGACCGCACTGAAGGCACAATATGCCTTGCAATCCCGTGTGGGCGATCGCATTTCGGCCGGAGGGCGTGGCTACGGTGCCACTCACTTCAATGGCCCGCCACGCCCCCTCCAGCCCGGCAAAAAAGTGAGCCGGTCGCAATGCGAGGCAGTGCGTTCCGGCCAGATTCGGACCGAAACACACTGCTTATGGTGTGAACTAACCCTAAAAGCTTCCCTGACTCCATGTTCACAGGTTCAGATTCTGTGAACATGGAGGAGTCTGCTAGTAGTCTTAGGAATGTAATCAGCAGAGCAGATAGTTGCACCTGATGGATGCTAGGAAGAAAATTAAAGCCATACCATAGAGGAAAGCTGTCCATTAATTTGTGGATGCAACATTTTCAGGTTTGACAAATTTCCAATTGGACCCTTAACTTAATCCTCTGAAAGAGGGGCTGCAAGGCTCCAACTGAACGCTGGAAGCTGAATTGCCCATCGCCTAGGAAGCCGTGCTAGTTCTGGTGTAGGCATGCAGAATGTAGCAGCAAAGGGCTCTGCCTTGGAAGCAGCACTTCTTCCAATAGTCGGGAAGTAGCAGTCTAAGCTATACCAGGCGCTATCCGTTCTCACAAGTCCACTTTCAACCAACATCCAGTTTGCTAACAATCTACACACAGCTCTGCCCTAAACTACAAACACCACTTACCAATGCTGGAGTTTCGGCTGCTTCTGGGCTTGGCGCAGGTCACATCTCGAAAGAAGATCTTCAGCTGGGAGTACAGTAAGGTGACATCTTTCCCCCGAAATATCTGAAAACAGAAGACCCCATCTTGCTCACCAGGCCATTTCTGGTTCATATTCAACTGCAAAGACAAAGTCCACCATAGCACCCACCTTGGCTACAAATGTCCCTCCTTTCCTTAGTACATGAGTGGTGATGTTCAAAGCCTGCGGTAGAAAAGATACTTCAAAAATGTAATTCAAATTAAACATGTGTGCGTATTAATTTATTAGAAGAATAACTGCTTTAAAGCCCCATTCCGGGCTGCTGTTACATTTGCCCAGTTAGTGGGGTCCTGCATTGCATGAGATAAATCCTCGTTTGGCTAGGGGGAAAGGAAGAAGTACAGCGTATCCCTTGCTTCTACAGCACCCGGCACTCTGCTCCACTGTCCAAAATGCTCAGGTTGTCAGCAGGCTCTTTACATCCTCACATGCAAAGCAGGAATGCTGGTGCTGCATTATACATGATGACGTCAGAGAGTTGCAACTGGCCGGCAAGCAAAGTGAAGCAGCTTTGGGGGACTGCTCGCATGGAGAGAAGGAAGCCTACAGGAGTGAGGAATAAGATAACTATCTGCATGTATTCCTTTTCTCTCAAGCCAAATTAACCCACGCAGTGCGAGAGGGACTCCAATGCATGGGTCAATTTAACAGCAGCCTGGAGTGAAGCTTTAAGGTTCTGTACACAGTGCAGTGGAATGAAACAAAATGATTAAATATTATTAAACTAAATTATCAAAATAAATGATGCTACTAGAATGGAATGATTATAATGTCTTTGAAGTTTGCAATCCTGCACATAACACCGATATACAAAAAATAATATTTACAGTTACTTTCAATCTGCTGCAAGTGGATTTAGACTCACCGCAAGCAAGAGCTGAGCTTGAATATATTCATCGATATCATGCAGGCCAGTAACTACAGGACAAAAGACAGAGATGACATTAGAGAACCACACAATGCCCTCAACTACTGCTATATCAGAGGGTTAATGTTGTATAGACACCGTAAGGCCTGTTAAAGATTGCTTTTTCTTTTCCTGCAATCCTTCCCCTTTTACTGCAAAAATGTTCTCAGGTTATGAAAGTTAAAAAAGGAATGATGTGATGTTGATCCAGGGAAGTAAAAAGTAGATAGATTGCCAATAATAGAACACAAGATAATAAAAAAACAAAAAAAAAGGACACCATAAAGGCCAATCTATTGTGCTGGTGCACTGCTGTGCTATTCTTTGCAAATAGTAATGCAGCCTTAAACGCAAAACTCATATTCCTTGTCCTGAGATCACACAGCCACATCCCTCGTCAGTGCAGGCAAGAAAAGCACGCTGCAGCTCGATACTGGTTCTCGCAGAAACAATTGCCGCACAAACGACTGAGAACTCTATAAATAAGCCGTTTGGTGAAACATGTTAGAGTTGTAGGAGCCTGTGTTTGTTTACAGCATGTTTTGACTTCGGGAAGTAACATTGTCCAGCTTGTGATACCAGCAGTTTGTGCGGCCTTAAACGATTATTCAACTTTAAAAAAATGTAAATTAAAAAGTCTTAAAAAGGAGAACTATGGGGTTAGTGCTTTTCCCCATAGTTCTCCTTAGGGTAACGGGAGGACACAAACTAGCGTCCTCCCGTCACCCTAAGCTCAGTATACCGCGAGCTACAGCTCCCGGCATACTGAGACGCCGCAGCTGAAGCGGATCCCGACAATTATGTCTGGATCCGCCAAGCTGCGTGAGTGACAGCTGGCTCTGCCTATCTAGAGGCATTGCCAGCTGTACCTGCCCCGTCCGATCCGCCAGTCAGCGCTGGAGGATCGGAGCGGGGAGGGGGGAATCCAGCCCCTCCCCTGTCACGGCAGAGAGCCGTGACAGGATCGAGAGGTGAGCGAACGCCGGTATGTTTACGCTCACTTCCCGATCTACTGAGCCGACCTGTGACAGTCTCATTGTCACAGGTCAGCCAGAACTATGAGGTGAGTGAAAAACACTCACCTCATAGTTCTCCTTTAAACAAATAATATAGCATACAGGTGAAACTCGAATAATTAGAATATTGTGCAAAGTTAATTTATTTCACTAATGCAACTTAAAAGGTGAAACTAATATATGCGATAGACTCATTACATGCAAAGCAGATAGTTCAAGCCGTGATTTGTCATAATTGTGATGATTATGGCTTACAGCTCATGAAAACCCCAAGAACCCCAAATCCACAATCTCAAAAAAGTTGATTATTACATGCAATCAATAAAACAAGGATTGTACATAGAACAATATCGGACCTCTGAAAAGTACAAGCATGCATATGTACTCAGTACTTGGTTTGGGCCCCTTTTGCAGCACTTACTGCCATTACTTTTGCACGATATTCTAATTATTCGAGTTTCACCTGTATATAAAATTGTTGCACAAGTCATTTTGCAATTTAATGTTATTTTAAAAAAATATCTTTCCATTTTAAACTGTAGCTACTTCAATGTTCTAAATCATTTACTGATTCTGTGATTGGCTGACTCATTTCCCCCAGAAGTCTGCTCTAAAATGCAAGTACAATTTTTGGCATCCCTTGTAATAGGAATTTAAATTTTTGGTGAGATACTTCTTAAGGTTACTTACTACTAATGGGATGCAAACACTGCACCTTACACTATTAAAACACCGGAAACCCCACCAGCTCATTATAAGGAACCCAGACCCTACGATTCAGCAATCAGTCTGGAAAGGACATGCTGCAACCAACAGCTATTTCTTCAGAATAAAAACAGGTAAGAATCAGCAACAAAGTTTGTTAAAAGCCTTGCAATGTACATTGATCATCCAGAGGGGATTGATTTTATTCAACTAAAGTGAAAGGGAAAGCTACACTACAGGAAAGTAGCTAAATAACATTTGAAATACATGTAATTTGCTTTACTGACCAAATATTCATATTCCTGTTTTAGGCCAGTCTTGTGATCAAAATATCCCAGCAAGACAGCATAGCCAGATCCCTGACCTCTCTGCAGACTGCACTGCAGTTACACATAGAGACTGGTCTAAGAACCACCACAATCTGTTAATACAGAAAAATGGAAGCAGCATACAGATGAGATCATCATTCTGCTCTCCTCTACTGTCAGCATGTTCACTAACTGGACTGTGCAAAGTAATAGATCCTGATCTGCTCCTATTACTACCTTTCTGTCCCCAGGTCTGTGTGCTCCTGTAAAATGATTACAGGAGAAAAACGGAGAAACTATAACCTTTATTAAAAGACTTCTGTACAGAGCAGGAGTCAATTGATGACCCTGGAAGGAGGGTGCTACAGACAATGCAATTAATTACCATCTGGTGCCCCGTCACATACAACAAGGTCCGCTGGCTGACCCTCGAAGTGCTGTATTATCTCATGAGCTGTGGAAACCTAAAGGCAGAAAACCAAAATAGATTGCGGTTAAAGACCACATACGGCTTTGTAATATCTCTTGGTGCAAGTTATTAATACATTTTGGGCTTATGTCTACTTTTGCTTCCCAGTTCTGTTAAATGCTGATAGTGGTCCAACAGCTACAACGATTGTGGCCTCCTTTATCATAAGGGGCCGTCGGGCTCATAGCAATCATAACTAATGTTTCCAAGCAAACCAAGCCCAAGGTTGCATTGGGTCTCTCACAGCAGACAGTACCTTAGTAATATCTCCTTGAATTTGGATCACTCCAGGTAGCGGAGCCATGGCCTGTAGATCTACTGAAACAATCTTCACCTCTGATGTCTCATTATTAGCCCTAGACAAAGAAAAGCAATCATTTAGAGTGACACTGTTGGTACTTAAAAACTTTAAGATGTATTTTGGTTTTAAAGCAACAAAATCGCCACCTTCTATTGCAGCGTGCTCTTTAAAAAGGCACCCTGCAAAAATACTTACCTGCACGACAGGCAGCTACTTCTATCTTTGCTTTCTTAAAGAGCTACAGCAGCTAAGGAATCTTCTGCTTGCAACACACTTCCGGGTCTGTCAGATACCCATGTTCCTCTCTGCACACTGTGGTTATATTAGGTATGTTCTAATAAATTAGGGGCTGGCAGGTGGGACCACAGCATAAAGTGGGGACCAACCATCCATTATCCCTGAAGTGTGTCAGATGCTGAAGATTAGTTTAAGAAGGCAAAGATAGGAGTCACCACCTCCTAGTGACTAGTAAGTATTAGTGATTGTCTTCTGTAGGGTGCATAAAAAAATAAAAATATTTTGGTAGTTATAAATTCCTTTTAAAACCAAACTCCAGCTAAAACCTTTTGAGTTTTTTTACAGGGTGGAAAAGACTTGGAAACCTTTAGGCGATCCCTTAAGACTCATCTCTTCAGGGAAGTCTATCCCACCTCAACCTAACCACTGAACCATCACTTTCTCAAACTTTTCATCCCTACACAGCTACCTCCTCTTGTATCACTTCTCCCTCCCTTTTAGATTGTAAGCCCTCGGGGGCAGGGTCCTCCTTACCATCTTGTCTTGAATTGTATTGTGATTCTATTGTCTTCCGTATATTGTAAAGCGCTGTGCAAACTGTTGGCACTATATAAATCCTGTAATATAATAATAATAATAACAACAACCTCTGTTAAGTTGTTATTACCATCCAAGTCCTCATTGGGTTGATATCCCCTCTCCTCCTGTGTGGTCAATGGGCAGGTAAGTGAGGCAATCTCTTCAATGTGTACCCAAAGAACAATAAAAAAATATTTTACAGAGTTTAACTCTTCCACCCTCTATCCAAAAATAGAAAAGAAAAGTTTTGGCTGGGCATTAAACAAATGTTGCCCGTTTTTGCTTAGTGTGTAAGAGAAAAACATTTTACCTAAGCTTTCTGCTGAGAACCTGACTCCAACTGCCAGGGGCTGCACACAGGTCAACGGCTCTCTGTACACCTGGAAGACAGACATACATCAAGTTATGTCCATGGTTTCATGTCAATCAAATGGCACTAATTTCTAAGGTTTTTTTTAATAACAATAATCTGCGCTTTAAGGAAATAATCCTAGGTCAAAAAGTTGAAAAATAATTGATATTGAATCAACCAATTAATTAATAAGCTGCTATGTAAAGGAGCTGAAAGCTTCTGTAAATTCTTAATCAATAAACACAGTGCTGAATAAAATAATAAATAATGAAGTGAAAATATCTAGAATAAATGGAACAAATAAAGTGTATAGCTCAGAAATTCCTATTAAAGTATTAGATCAATCCACTTGATAAGTGAATAGTGTAATCAAAAAATTGATATAAGATAGTAGTAAAATATCTAAATGAATAACTAAATAAATCTAAGTGACAAAAGAAACAATCCGGTGTAAAGTGATACAGTGTAAAAAACAAACACTTGGTAGCAAAATCTGAAGAGTGGCATATACAATGTTACATCCTAATTCAGTCCCAAATGTAATAGGTAGTGTATTAGAAATGATGAATAAATATATAACAAACTCCTTTTAAAACAGTTCAAAACTAAATTCAATCCCAAGTGAATACAGCGATAAATAGTGAAACGAACTTCATCAATATGATTCAACCTCCATGTGAAAAACGACAGTGTCACTTAGATTATTTATTTAGTTATTAATTTAGATATTTTACCACTATCCTATATCATTTTTTTGATTACACTATTCACTTATCATGTGGATTGATGTAATACTTTAATTTTTGAGCTATGCACTTTATTTGTTCCATTTATTCTAGATATTTCACTTCATTATTTATTATTTATTTTATTCAGCGCTGTGTTTGATTAAGAACTCATTTCTAAAAGGCCTATTCATACTTCTCTGTTTTCATGCAGCAAAACAGATGCATTTTACTGCATCAAAACACATTACAATTAGAAATACCATTCTTTCCTATGTGGCTGGGTCACATATATGTGCTGCAGTTTAGTGTGAAAGGGGAAGGAAAACTATATAGGGACATTCACACTTAAGCATGTTCGTTATTACTTGTGCTGCTTACACACAGAACAGTGTGTAAGCAGCACAAGAAAGCCATCCACAACTCTGCCCCCGGATATATCTCAAACCTTGTCTCAAAATATCACCCTAACCGTCGCCTCCGCTCATCCCAAGACCTCCTGCTTTCCTCCGAGGATGTAAGCATAAACTACAAATCCCATCAGCAACTGTGGCAGTTTGACTGGTAGTTCTCAATGAAATACAAGTCCTTCCTTGGGATGGGAGGGAGAATCTGCAGGAGCCAGAGCATTGCACATGTGATCTACTGATCAGTGTTTTCCTGCCTCCAATGCAAAAAGAAAAATAAATGCATATGAGGAAGTGTGCATTTATTTATTTATGTTAAAAGTGGATATTAGCATTAGTTCACAAAGCGTGAACACAAGGAAAAGAAGCTTTATTTTAGACTGTAATTCTCAAATCTTTTTGGACTGAGCTAAAAATACATATCACGGTCTTTAATTGGACAGTGAAAAACCAGGGACAGATTGATAAAGTCAACGCTATGTTTACTCTGTGCTCTCCTTCTGACAGCAGGTTCTTTGTCAGCACATGTATATGCAGCACACCTGATTGGCCCATGCCTTTTCCCCTTTCTCTCCCTGTCACAGTGTTGCTATGTAGGAGATTACAAGAGGTGGATACCAAGTCAAAAAAGGGTGACATTACCAGTCCCTCCAGGAAGTGGGGTGCAAGGTACGGTAAGTTTTTTTTTTTTTTCTCAAATGCTTATTTAGCACTTTAGGTTTAGTTTTTTGGGTTTTTTTTTGGGGGGGGGGGGGGGGGTGAAAGGAAA